GTAAACAACTGCGATCGGCGAGGATCGTGGCGGTCAGTGGCACCGGTATCCGGAACGTTTCGGATGGATATTGTGCAAGAAGGAGGGTGCGACATGGGGTAGGTTCCGCGACATAGCGACCCTCTTATTGGAGTTTAGTCTCGGATACCGAAAGTAAAATTCCTGAAAAGTATCCCATTCGTCTTTTTCCAAGGGGGTTTTTGAAAAAGTTGAAATAGGAAATGGTCGAATATGAGATGCTCGATGGATTTTGTCCTTTATGAATTTATTTGATAATGATCGTGATCGAGTGACCAAGCATATGATTATTTGTAAAAATGTAGAAATAATTATAAATAGGATTGAAAAAATTTTTTAAGCAATAAATTTGTTGTAAGATAATATCTTCGTTTTGGGTTTTTATAATTAGGATGTTTATAAATTTTGATAAACATAGATAAAATAATTAATTAGTTTAGCTGTTAGATATAAAATCAATGTTTTATTCTTTTTTACGATGTCTTTCTTATCCCCAAATATATTTTAAATAAAAGCACAGCAATTAAACGTGAGAATCTTTCGAATCTAGCATTTTCAGGATTGCTCGTTTCAGTTCGTTTATCGAGGGGTGGTGTTTACCGTGATACAAGAAGACGGCACGAACGAAAGTTGGTTCTTTTGACGGGTGAGAGTCTAAATCTTATTAGGCCGAGTTATTTCTGATTGGCACTGGGGGTGTTTGCTAGCCGACTTTCGCTCGAGACACTCCCTGAAGCAAATTGACATATCAAAAGGATCGTTGTATGTAACGACGATGATATTTAACGATACTCTGTTTGCACGATAGTTTGTGAATTAGTAGCGCGTTTCTTTGGAATTTTAGATTTTCATTCATCTCATTTAATGTATAATTTATATTATATTTAGATTATATTATTATTATTTTATGCTTATTCCGAATTTAAAATAAATATTATGCGGATCAATTTTTGATTTTCAATGTTTTTTTTTTTATTCGCAATATTTTTAGGATATCGAATATTTGAAGACTGATAAATGAAGTTTCGTTTGGTTTAATAAATTTTATGGATTATACGTATATAGATTGAAAATATTTTTATTTATTGTGAAAACATTTAATTTTTCCGTTGAATATTTCTGATCTATTCAATATTCAACGATACGGAAACAAGATTAAATATGCGAGCGTGAAAAAAATAATACTTAAAAAAATATTCTTACTAATTTACTATCTACATGTATAATAACACATCGCATTATTTCTATTAGAAATTATTGTCCTGGATAAATTAATCGCGCTTTCTAATTAATTCTTCGATCATTCTTCCCGATCCGATAATAAATCTTCACATTTAAAATCGGGAAATTTTACGAAATCTCTTTGATTGAATTAATAAACCAGGCAGAACTGTGTGTAGAAAGTTCAGTTTTCAAGTGAAGAAAAATACATATCGCTGAATTTGAATATCGAGAATAGATTTAACAGGAGGAAATGACGATGACGAGTTTCATGGATCGAATCATTTTATAGGTAGATTCGAAAGACGGTTCATCGATTTCGAAACGTTCGTGTCCCGCATCAAACGGTAATAAAACCGTAATTACACCGATTTGAATAATAACGCGCACCGTTTAATATCACGTTCAACGATGACGTTATGTTAATAACGCGGACTAGCGAGCGTGTAATCCGCTCCCGAATTTCGTTCTTTCGCGCGTGCTGACTGTTAATAAGGCGTGTCAACGGGAAATTGCCAACGATTGAAATAATTGAGCCTATCGCCCGTGTCGTGGTTCCGGCCAACTCGACGATTATTCTGGAAACGTTGCAGTTTATTATTCCCTTTTAACGAAATGGTTCCATCGTTCGCTCAATGAAACATGAAACATCGAGCTTCGTTTAAGTCACGTTATGTTATCTATTTTTTTTTTGAATATCACGGATTCATCGATAATTCTTCCCTTCTCTCATACGTGAACAAATTCCCGTTTGTCATTTCTTTGCTCGATAATTAGGAGCATTATTGGGTATTTTAAGATGATTTTAATTTTAATAAAATTTATGATAAACGTCATGACAGGAAGGATTTCAAGGAATAATTAAAAATAATAAGAGAAATTAAAGATACAACTTCTAAAGAGAACTTTCAATATTAATAAAGAAAGAACACGTGATTTACCAATACGAAATCACGTGTTCTTCCCTAAAATCATAAAAATTTGATCTAAGATTACCTTGCAACATTGATAAAATTTCTCGATTGAATCTAAAATTGAAATTCAATAACACTCCTCTAATGAGATTTTGTTACAAAAAATATATCGCGAAACACTTAGCATCACAGAGTATCAAACTATCGAAAAGAATTAGCGTTAAAAAGATTATAAAAATGTAACGTCTTGGCGGCAAAGGAGGTTCTTCTGGCGGTAGTTTCCGATATAATTGGCACGAGAATAAAAGCGCCGACACGCGATTCAACGAGGAAAAAAAGGTAATCGCTTCTCTCTCCACGGTAATAAACGAAACGTCTGCAATTCCCGTGTAACGTTATCACGCGCAATAAACGTGATAATTCGGTCGCGACTGCACCGACCAAATTATCGGCTCTCGCGAAATTGATTATATGCGCTGGTAATTCGACTTACTCGGCATTATTCGACGATGAAAGTGTCCTCTGACTTGGAAGGGAGAACAGGAAATTGCTTTGTTCGTGCTTTTTTTTTTTTTTGGCCCGTACTTCATTATTTGACAGAAGGATAGGTGGTTTTTCTAATTTTGTTCGAATTAGTATTTTTTATTTTATATTACAACTCTTCTTTTTTTGTTTTACCTTCTTTTTTTTTCTTTCGAAGTGAAAAAAAAAATGAAAGGAATTCAGAGAGAGATTTTTAATCAACGAACAATAAATCGAATATATCTTTTTCAAATTTAAATTTTTCATGAAATGCATAAACATTCGTAAGCTATATACGAATATATATATATCTATTGGGGAATATCGATTTATTAGACATGAATGACATTTACATGAATTTATATGAATTTTAACGTAAATTTTGTTGTACTTTTCTGTTGCAGGTGAGTATTTCTGGAAATGTTCTTCTCGCGGATGATGAATATAAATTCGTCTGCATAAATTTTTTATACCTTCCTAGGTAAGTGTATTTGCAAAGAAAAACACAAATTACTGTGATTGGTTATCGGACGAATCGGTTTCTTATCGAGAAGGAATAAGTAAGAAAATTTGTTTTAAAAAAAATGGTACAAATAGTTGAAAACAATTGTACAGGCAAAATTTTCACTTTTCCTTAAAATTGTTACAAATGGATCCTTTTCGCAATTCTTCTCTATTTCTCCCCTTAATACGATCCAACTAAAAACACTCATCCGTCAGTCAAACTCCCACCGATCACCGAGATCGATGCATTAAACCTCTAGAAAGGTCCATAATGTATCTCCACAGATCGTGCATCTTGGCAGCGAAGGGGTGACACATTTGCCGGGATTCGAGCGTTTCGAAGAAGAAGGCGTCGAAAGATTTATGCACGGATGCTATGTATATGCGTGTATGGACGCACTCATACATCAAGATGTCCAAAGTGTTGGAGTGGAAGATAGTTGAAGAATGACCGAGATAGAAAATGTCTGAATTTCACGAGTAACCCCGCGATCCACAATGAGACTTTGTCTTCGTTTCTTTTTCTTTTTTTTTTTTTTTGCATTCTTGGATGATTGATTAACCCTTGTTTACGTCCACGAACTTTCATCCACCTTCTTCATTCGATTCAAATTCTCATTTCTATTCCCTTCGTTCGACCGATTTTTATAGAATAAAAATTACGAATCAATTTGAAATTCGCGAATGAATTACTCTTTGATGGATAATTGTAATTCTTTCAAATGAATCGGAGTTATTCTGAGCTAATGAGAGAAATTATTCAAGCAAATCTGTCGTTACTAAAAAATTCATTATGAAAATGAAAGAGAATAGCTTTTGCATTAAGATTCCGATTTTTCGAATCTTCAAATTGAGTAATTTTCGAAATAAAAGTTGTCCTATTTTGATATAATGATTTTCTAATTCCTTCTAGTTCTTTCGTAATCAAAAAACTAAATAAATACCATTCAAATCTATTGTTGAAAATCGAAGAAAATAATCTTGATGCAATTACATACATTACCATATTATGGTAAAAGGTAAATAATAAAATAATCTCGAGTTAGCGTAAGAAAAAATCTAGCTTCCTCAAGCTTTCTTTCATATTCCTTGCACGATCTCAATCTCTATCTTTTTATCATCCCTTTTCCTCCGTTCTTTTCCTTCCACATCTTTTCTTATCCAACATCCATTCTACTCGTCCAGTAGAATCCTCGTTCAATTTTTGCGTGCATCTACGTGTGTCACACCTTTTTGCAAGCCGGGATGGCATGCATAATTAATTTTTCAAGCGTCGTGCTTTTTTTTCTCTCGTCATCGCCGAAGATTCGTTTCGCCGACCGTGTTCGAATAATAAATTAATCGCGTGTTTCGGCCTCTTTTATTCCCTACGGGCCTTCTTCTCGCGGTTATCGGCATGTAATTAGTCGTGCGTCTGTTCTTTTAACCCTCTTGTTGCGATGCGCGGTGGTTTGGCAAGAGTTTTTTTTTTATTTTTATTTTTTTTCATTTTTTTATAGCGTGTGCAACTGATGAAGGCGACACAAAGGGGTGCCTTGCCTTCGACTACATTTTTTTTATGATATTGTATTTGATAATATAAGAATACTAATATATGCAGCAACGCTTATAATTTTTAATAAATAAAATTAGATTATTTAAGTTTAACTTGAGATAGTTTTTAAAATAAGGTTTCACGTATAATAATAAATTCTTTTGTAGTTTTATTATTGGTATTCTTTTAAAATTAATTTTTAAGCCCTGGATGTTTTTTTTTCTTTTCAATATTTCGTTTCCATAATATACTTTATGGTAGTAACTATATATAACTAAAAGTTCTACTAAATATCAAGAGAAGTTGGTATAGCCAACTGAAACTGTGTTTCATTTGCATATTGATTCATAAACATAAACACAACGCGAACAGGATAGTATAGATGGTATCAGTGAAAGATTTCTTCTACGATATATTTATCTTTTAAGATTGAAAAACAACACTTTATATCATCAATGCTGTTTACAATTAAATTTTCGTTTCGCGAAATAAGAGAATAAAATAAACAAATTTTCAACGCGTTATTATTATTCGGAAGAACAGCGCGGATAAGTCAAACTTTACCTTACCTCCTACTTTACCTTTACCTCTTTTCAAATTTAATTACGCTTTCTCGGGATGATTTGTTTTTGATTGAAAATGCCGGCCTGTTTCATCTCTGCGCTCTGGTCCACGTCACGTAAGGAACCCCTTGCTGCTTCTTAATTAATGCGGCTTTCAGAACTGTAATCAATAGACCGTGCTTATAAATTTTGTGCGATTTATTTGAAAAGGGGCAGAAGAAACAAAAGAAATAAGAAAATAAGAAATACAATTTAGTGTGCGTGAAAAGAAAGAAAGAAAAAAAAAATGTGAAACAGATAATTTTAAAATGATGTAAATTTATTATTTTTAATTATTATTAAAAATAGAAGATCTTTAAAGATTGAATTGATTTATTAGAGGGAATATAATTTCTTATATAAAAATTATATCATTTATATCAATTTATACTGATTTCTATGTAATTTTTAAAAAAATAAAGTTTCATGAAAATGTGATATAGGTATTAATAATGTGTGTTTCGTAAACAAAATATTCTCGACTGAATAAGAAATTATTCAAAAATCCAAAATAAATTTCACCAAAACGACTCACCACATAAATTCTTCAACACCTAGTAACTTATGTATCGCCAAAATTCTAGCCAAATTAACCAGTTGAAGCCAGCCAAGCCAAAATAGTTCCATAAACATGCAATCTCCCCAGAAAATTTAAACAGCAACACACCACAAACTCGAACACACACCACTTTTACTGTTCAATTCGCAACGAGAACAAACGTTTAATTTGATCGAGGCAATTAAAATGTTATTCATCCTTGTTTAACTTCTTCGAATAACACGATTTTCAACCGCAAATGAAATTCTGAAAATCAACTTTGGATCCTTCTTTTTATTTTCCTTTTTTGCACATGTTCTCCTTCTCCCTCTTCCTCCAAGTCCGCCATTCTTCGCTCGTTCTCGCTTGCTTTCTTGCTGCTCTTGATAGAATGCATAATTAATTTGTCGAGCTGGGTGTCAAGTACAGTCTTCTTCGCGAAATCGCCACGATTAGAACTAGAGTGGATTATGGCGTAACCGATGTCACGAGGTCAATGTTGGCAAGAGATCTTGAGAACTCTTTGACGATGCGATCTTTAGTGCGACTTACGGAAAATATTTTTTTTTTTCGCTATATGATTGTAAGATGTTTCGTATTGGATATTATTTTTATTTTGTTTTATTAATTTTATATTCTTTTGGAAAATATGTATTATATTAGAATTTTTTTAATCTATCGAATATCTGTCAATTTCTCAATCTATTTAAAGATTTATAACTTTACAAATTTCTCTCTGTCTCTCTCTCTCTCTCTCTGTCTCTCATCACTCGATCTTAAATTATTCATCCTAAAAAATTCTTTTCGTCGATTGAAGTTTTTATAGTTCTCCATCATGAACTAATCGCATTTCGAAGATGCCCTCCTCGAGAAATGAGCAGGTTTAGAGTTTACGTTCACTTAGCACGATTAATCCATTATTTCGGATTATCCCGTATCGTTTTCTTTTTTTTAATCCGCGACGATAAGTCTCCGTGAAAGTATCGCGTCGATGTCACCCATCGTTTAATAAATTAAGTTCATCGAGCTGCAGGAACATTCTGAATAAGTTAAATATTCTTGCTCGATGTAATATCCATTTGGTACACAATAATCGGCGGGATTAATCTCGCCTCGATTTCGATGAAAACGAAACGGGGTCTCTTAATGGAAATGGTTGGAAGTTTCTCGGTTTTAATATGAGCACGAATATATATCGATATCAGAAAGATGGCTCGATTTATTGATTCCATTAAAGAAAAAAAAAAAGAATCTTAATATTATTTTTTTAATTTATTATTTAATTTATTATATATTTAGATTGTTATTCTTAGTTTGTGGGATTAAAACGACGATCGATTCCTTCTAGAGAAACAGATGATGCTTTGACAATGGGAAAAAAAGTATCCTTCTATTTTTTATCCATTCTCATAAATAACAGTTACGAGATACTCGAGTTAGTTTTGATCAGATTGCGTTGACAGTGTTTTCCTTCCTTGATAAAGCGTATTATGTTATACAATATAGAGTGGAGGGGTGAAATAATGGTAGACAACTGTTTTTAATTTGTAAGTGTGATGTGCAAGTTTCATGACCCACAATGATATGACTCTTGTTCGATTTCTTCTATTCTTTTCCGAGAAGGGATTGCACGTGGCCTGTTAATGAAAAGAACCCACATAATCGTGGTACCAGCGGATCTTTAAAGAGAGAAGGTTGAAGAATTGAATGGCGGTTCATGGATAATGATTTGACACTATAAAGTATGCCTATGTGGGTTCAATAAATGTTGTAGATGTAAACAGGATATCTTACGTTGAAATTTCAATGGAATTTTGAGTATATTAGACTTTCAGAGTCCTTTTGGGATAATTGGGATAATATTATTAGCGAAATTTGATAAATTAAATAGTTTGATGGTAAAGCAAATAAATTTTACCTATAAATTTTATAATGATTATTCTATTTGATGTAAAATAATTATAGAACGATAATTTGTGATTTATCGATTCATAATATTATCAATTAACAAATTATCATTCGATAGATATTGCTAGATATTGAAATAAAAATACCAAAAGTCTTGCAAAAGAAAAACTCAACACTCAACAAAATATTATCTTTAAATTTTTAAAAAAAATTCTTGTCCAGTTTTTTATAAAAATATTCTAATTTCGACGTGGTTGCATTCGTATATAAAACATAACAAAGTATACCGAGAATAATTTTAGAATAATTCCACGAGAAATACACGAAGAAGATAGTAAATTCGACGTTAAAAAAATTTTCATATTTTCTTCTTTTCACAAATAAAATTTTATAACGTTACGAAGAAGGACAAGATTAATATAAAATTTTAAAGTAAATGATAAATAAATAATAAAAATATGCATTTCTCTTGTAATTTTTAATAAAAGAAAAAAAGTAATGGTATCAAAAGATATTTAAACGAGATTCCTCTTTAAGGTTTTTTTAAGAACATGTCTCTACGATGTATCGTTTAAAAGACGTAATACTAATTAAAAAATTCTTGCTTTGACTGAAAAATATCTTTTCAAACATCTTGCAAAATGTCTTAATTAAGTTGGCAAAAAGAATAAAGAGATGAAATGAGATGAATGGGGTAGCAAATATGTTGTATTTTCACAATCTCAATAAAATTCGTTGATAATTTCATATTTGATGAATTTTTTATTTTCTTATTTATTAATAATGATAAAATTCAAGGATTGATTAAGAATTAAAATTATAAAATGTATTAGTCAATTTCAAGATAAAAATACGTATGAAATTTTCTCTAAAATTTAAAAATTTTTACAAGTCCATGGGCAGAAAATATCAAATTACATGCATGAGAAGGAACAAATGAGACGAAATTTAAAATTGTATGAATTCAGCGTTATTTAAATTTTTATGTATATCATTTTCTTTATCATTTTACATTCTCAAGAAACATAAAAAAAAAAAAATAACGCAAAATAAATTGGATTCCTGATTTTCGAAATAATTCATTGGATAAACGCGTCTCAAGGCTAATTCTCAAAAACGTTTCGAAATATCAAGAGGCAAGAGATTCTCTATTTTTCGACTTCTTTGAGCAAGCGATCACGATCCGTGAACAAAAGATCTGATGACTGACAAAGCACAGTATCTAAAACGTAATGGGGGTTACAAGAGTCCCGAGTGAATATTTCTTGTTCCTTTTGGAGGGGAAGCGATCATCTACTGCTTTTGCTCGAGCACACAGAAATCTTCTTGACATAATAGCGAATCCTCGCAGATTTCCAACTTGGGAATCTCATTGTTACGTTTCTTTGATTTCGTGAATGATAAATGATAAAAATACTTTTATTCTTTCTTTTTCGAAGAAACAAATGTAATCCTCCAATGTAATTAAGAATCATCAATTTGATTTCATATCAATATTTACTTACTTACCAACTAATCTCGAAAGCTTGTTTCTTAAAAAAAAAAAAAAAAAAAGAACAAACCTTATCGATCAAAAATTCATAAATCCCCTCCTCGCACACACACCTCGTCATCGCTGATTAAATTCATTTTGGATTATTGGTGTGCAACACGTATCGATACGCATGCTAATTGGTAATTATGCCACTCGAACGTGCATAATCCGACGCCCACGTAACGTTTCCGGTCCGAGACACGGAGATTGGATAACGAAAATCCGCTAATTCGTTAAACCCGGGAGACCAGAATCCTTTTGTTCCCGATGAAAAATTCAAGCCCCAACGGGAATTCCCCGATTCGGTTTTCGAAGCAGAAGGGAAAGTTTTAAGCAGGATCTCGGACTTCCGCGATGTTTCTTCGGACTGTCGACACGGAGTTCCGAGAGGCGTTAACGGCCGAGTGTCTTTCAAGGATCTTCGCGCCAAGATTTTGACTTCTCTCTCTCTCTCACTCTCTCTCTTCTTCTTCTCTCTTCGGGGTGAATTTCGGTAATTCAGCATCCATTCTTCCCTTGCGTTGAACATCGTTGTTCACCGATGTGCGATTAAATTCTTGCACCGTTTCCTTGTTGTTTCTTCTTATGAAATTAATTCATTGCTCCTCTTCTCGATTTAACCGCGTTGAGGGAAAGGGAGATTGTATATGAATGATCGATGAATTTGCTTCACACACGATTCTTTTGACTTTTGTTTCTTCGTTTTTGTGACGTTTCTTTAGAATTTGATTTAGAATTTTGTTTCGAGCTGGTTGAAGATGATACGAACGGAGGTTATTTAATATTGAATAAAATTTGATAAAGTGATATTACGTGTTAATTTTAATGTATACATTTGAGAGAAAAGCTGTGTCCGCATCGTAGACGATTCATCTATATTACGTGCATTTCGATCGTATGTATTATTCCATAAAAGCGAATCGTGTTCGCACCACAATATGCCATCGACATTCAAAAAAGCGTTAAAAATTCTCGACTCGAATTCTCCATCGCGCCAACCGCATAAAAACTCGCGCGACAGGACACATCCCCCCTCCCTCAAAAAGGAATAAAATAAAAAAAAAAAAAAAGATCTAGCAATTTCTAGACAAAGGATTATTGATGCGAGAACGTGGACGTTTCGACGCCATCAAAGAGCGATCAGAAAGAAGAATTCGTAGATCACGTGGATCCGCTCGAATCACGAACCAGCGCCAGGGGATGAAAAATTCGCATCCCCCTCGATGCGACGATAAATTGCGAGACTTTCATAGGGAGGGGGGCCAATTTCGCCGCTCGAAACAACAACGAACGCACGAAGAGCGAAAAAAAAAAAAGGAGGAGGAAACGACCGAAGAGGGAGAGGAGAGAGAGAGAGAGAGAGAGAGAGAGAGAGAGAGAGAGAGAGAGAGAGAGAGAAGAAGAAGAGAGA